CCGATGATCTAGCTAGTCCTCTCTCTGTGTCTTGATAGCACAAATCATCCGGTACGCTGATCTTACCGAAAAAATACCTCGCTTATCATAATGCCAAGCTCAGAAGTCCTCCTGTTGCCTTGTGCTGAGTGGTATATTGAGAATGACCTCGACATCAGCAGGTATAAAGTGTTCTACTAGAGCTGGCTTATTCCATGATCGGGTGGCAGGGTTGATTAGCTCCGACACCAACACCGGAAGGTTTGCTGATCGTGCACATATAGGCCTAAGCTCAAAATCTCTCGGCAGCCAGTTGTCGGACCAAATGTTAGTAGTAGCTCCTGTGCCGATCCGCTTGATAAGTCCCAGGGACAGAATATCGCGACCCTCCAGGAGAGATCGCCAGACCTGGGAAGGTGTATTTCCCAAAGTGGCATTCAACAGATTGGTATCCGGGAAATACCGAGCCTTCAAAACGCGAGCGCTCAATGAATCCGGTTGCTGCATCATCCTCCATGCCTGACGAGCTAGAAGTGCCAGGTTGAACAGTTCGATATCTCGAAAACCCGGGCCACCCATATACTTGGGTTTTGACATAGTTTTCCATGACACCCAGGCCGTCTTCCTCTCGCCATTTTTGCTTCCCCACTAAAATTTCCGTATCAGACTATTGATGTGCTCGCATATACCTCGAGGTAGCTTGAAGCATGCCATCGAATATGTAGGGATGGCTTGGGCGACAGATTTGATGAGGACCTCCTTCCCGCCTGCTGACAGACACTTCTCCATCCAACCTTGCACACGTTTCCAGATTCTGTCCTTTAAATACTTGAAAGATCCTTCTTTCATTCTTCCCACATGAGAGGGTAAACCCAAATATTTCTCAGTGAGCGCCTCATTGTGTACCTCAAGGATGTTCTTGACCGTTGCTTTGGTCAAGTCCGCTACCCCTTTGCTGAAAAAAACGATGATTTATCTACATTTATTCTCTGGCCCGATGCCTCACAGTAAACTCTGAGAAGACCTTTAACACGTGTAGCAGACGCCTCATTTGCCTCAAAAAAGAGTAGACTATCGTCGGCAAATAGGAGGTGATTAACCAAAGGGGCAGTCGGTGCAACTGCAATACCTTGAACTCCAACTTGTGACTTGAGCAAACAAGACAGTCCCTCCGCTGCAAGAAGAAATAAATATGGCGAGATTGGATCTCCGTGCCTTAGCCCACGAGTCGGCCTGAAACCATCCAGACAACCACCATTAAACAAAACCGAGAAGGTGACCGAAGAGACACACCTCATTACAATCTCCGTAAACCTAGGGCTGAACCCTAGTTTGATCATCACCGCCTTCAGATACGGCCACTCCAAGCGATCATATGCCTTCATCATATCCAGCTTAAGCGCACAAAATCTATTTCCCTTCACCCTTCTTGCTTTCATATAATGCAAACACTCGTAGGCCGTGATAAAATTGTCCGTAATGACACGTCCTGGGACAAAGGCAGACTGCTCTTTGGAGATGATATCGGGGAGAAATAATTTCAGCCGGTTAGCTAAGACCTTTGACGCAATCTTATAGATTACGTTACAGAGACTTATAGGGCGAAATTGTCCTAAAACTTTTGGACTAGAGATCTTGGGAATTAATACGATGAACGTGTTGTTTATCTCCTCCGGGGAATCAGCTCCATCAAGCACTCGGATGATCATCCTAGTAACCTCATCACCACACAAATCCCAGAGTTTTTGGAAAAAATGCGCGGGAAAACCGTCTGGGCCAGGTGCCTTGGTTGGGAACATCTGAAATAGGGCCTCTTTAACCTCCTCCCTGCTATAATCTGCGTTAAGACGAGCATTCATATTTCCATCCATACGAACAAGGATGTGAGATAAAACTTCCACCATACCAATAGTGCCCTCCGACGAATACAAATTTTCATAAAACTCTGTGGCCATACCTGCCAGCTCGCTCGGGTCAGTGCACACCATTCCATCAGTTCGTTCTAGTTGGACGATCCTGTTTTTTGCCCGACGAGCACTTGCTTTCCGCTGAAAAAATTTTGTGTTGCTATCTCCTTCAGCCAGCCACATAATCCGAGAGCGTTGTTTTGCCATGATCTCCTCTCTATACGATAGATCAATCAAGCGATCCATAACCTTTGCCTCTTCCTGTCCAGGGCCCGTCCGCAATGGATCAGCTCTAAGCTCAGCAAGCTGGCGACGCAACTCCCTCATCTCCTGCCGTACGGATCCAAAGGTCCTCTTGCTCCACCTTATCACTGAGGCTGAAACATTGTTCAGCTTATTCGCCAAGTCAGCTAGGTTTGACGCCGGGCCGTTTCCATTCCAAGCTTCGTCTACCGCGTCGCGAAAGCGGTCGTCTGTCTCCCAAGCACACTCGTACCAGAATGGTTTCCTCCCAACCATCCATTGGCTACCCATCTCTATGTCCGTCCTGAGTAGGATCGGACAGTGATCGCTCTTGGCTGCTGTCAGGTGTTCTAGTGTTGCAAAAGGGAAAAGTAAGGACCAGCTCGGCGAGGCCAGCGCTCGGTCTAGCCGGACCCTGCAGTATTGACCACCTGAAACTCGCTTTTCAAAGGTCCAGTCAAGACCCAAATATCCAATATCCGCCAAGCCACAAACATCCACCGCATCTCTGAACCCATCCATTTGTGCACTATCCCGTGTGTTCGGTCCCATCTGTTCCTCCTGGCGAAGTATTTCATTGAAGTCGCCGATGCATAGCCACGGCAGGGTACTCTCCCCCCTCAGCCTCTTCATAGTTTCCCAAGTTTTATACCTCATGCTCCTGTTCGCCTCCCCATAAAAACATGTGAGCCTCCACTACTCCGAACCAGGGCTCGACACCCAGGAGTCAATGTGATACTGCGAAAAGTTTTTTATTACAAGATTAGCATCTGACTTCCAAAAATACAAAGACCTCCACTCCTTCCACTACTAGCTACTGCAAAACTATTTTGAAAACCTAACGCCGCCGCCAAACCCTCCACTCGATTCTTTGCAATCTACGTCTCCACAACACAAAGGACCGACGGCGCACTATCCTCCACTAGAGCTCGAAGCTCGTTAACTGTCGCAGGGTCGCCAATACCGCGACAGTTCCAACATAAGGTCCGCATCAGGCTTGGCGGTCCTCCTCTAGGGAGGCCGCCTTGTCCATAAGCTCCATATCTTCGCCCTCTTCACCCTCCTGTCTCCTATTCTTCCCGATGTGAATCTTCTCCGGCGTAGTGACCACTGTATTGATCGGCGTAGACGATGACGCCCCTTCTATCAGCATAACGGTGTTCGCAACCTTGCCTACCAGAGAGAGTTGTTGCCCTCTAATATTTATTGAACCATCAGCCGCCACTAATCGTTTCCGAGCTCCCTTCTCTCCTTCCTCCCCCATATTCTCCCTTCTCGCCTGCACCTCCATCTGCTGCGGCCCGTGCGTATACATTCCTCCCACATCTCCCCTTCCCCGACCCCCTGGAGGGCCTCTACCACCTCGTCCCCTTGCTCCTCTTCCACCATCGCCTCCGCGGCCTCTCCCATTGTCTCCTCTTCCTGCACCTCCGTATGGTTGAGCCGCTGGCATCTCCGGCTCCCACAACAGCCACTCACCCCACTCGAACGACTCGGGATCATGTACACCGTCGCCACACTCATCAGCCAAGTGACCCATTCGGCCACAGGCAAAGCAGAAATCTGGAAGCTTTTCATAGTACACACTGAACTTTTTGTGTTCCTTTAGGGTGATTGGAACAAACCTGACCAAAGGCTCATTAACATCAACAAAAACTCTGGCTCGTAGCGTGCTTGACGGATTTATTCTTCCCTCATTCACGACAATAGTAAACGGAGGATCTCCCACCTTTGCAGCTACCTTCTCCGCCAACTCCCTTCTTCTAGTAAGGCCATCAGGCAGACCCTTCACACGAGCCCACAACGGTACCTTGTTTAGTTTATAGCCCTTGACATCTGAAAATCCGTCATACTCCTGGATCACCACAGGCGCCCGTCGGAACAGCCACGACCCTCCCTCCATGATCTTCCTCCAATCTCCCAAGCAGTGGCACTGAATAAGGAACAAATTGGGCCCCTTGATATTGAAAGTCACGCCCTGCGCCGCGGACCATGCATTACGCATCTGCGTCAAGAGCGCCGCATGACTGAACGGCTTAGTCGTATGAACCCGGAACAAGGCTAACCAGCGAACATCTTTGATCAAATCTTCCACCTCCTCTGAGAAATCCAGATCCTCCTCTTCCTTCCCATGCAACTTCATCCCGGCGAACTGATCCTCAAGATCAGGCCCCGGCCCAAAGTACGAACCATGCTCATCCTCCCCTCCACCAGATGCACTCCTCCTTGCCTGCGAGCTGTGACTCCCCCCATCTGCCATCGAGTTGTTTTGGCTTCCATCTTCCCTGACCCCATCATGATCTCCAGATCCGGTCGCCCCCTCAAGCCCTAACCCTACTTCCGCCTCCGTCTCTTCCCCCTGCCCCCCTGTCATCTGACGCGTTGGATCCGCCATGCAAGCGTGCGTGCGCTGCGAGAAGTGGTAGATCTCACCGGCGACCGGAGGGAACCGGCGATCGGCGAGAGTTTACATGGACTCTGGCGAGGATCGCCAGAGGAGCGGTGGAACCCTATAAACTAGGGGAAAACCTAGAAACGTTTACTTGGAATAACTGGACTGGTGCTATGTGCTCTCCCACTTTAGAAGACCGCCGGAAACATGCCATAAGCCCATAAGGTTGGAGCGGGACGTTGTAGTTCATCGTCATTATGTAACGTGATATCTACATACATCAGAATATGGCTAAACGCAGGACGAAACATACTCAAAATCGAAGTGCATCCATAGCGTGGTATGGATGCGACACCCCGTGCGTCCAACGTACGCGCCACCTCTCCCTACAAAACCCAGAACCCAAAAACCCCACGCCTCGACCCGCACCACCAGCACCAAGAAACCGCGAGACCCACGCCCGTGGCAGGCAGGCAGCCATGGAGCCGGAGGTCGCGGAGGCCGCCCGTGGCGAGGCTGCATTCTCAATACGCGCGCTCCACCACATCGCCCTCGCGGCCGGCGCTAGCGCCAGCAGCAAAAACATTGCCGTGTCCCCGGTCTCCATCCACGCCGCGGTGATGCTCCTTGGTACGGCTGCCCGCGGCGCCACGCTCGACGAGATCGTCGCCTTCCTCGGCCCCGCCGGCGGCCGCGCCCACGCACTGCTCGCGTCGGATGTCGCCCTACGCGTGCTCGCCCACAGCGCCGGCGATCACGGCGGGCCGAAGGTGCGGTTCGCCAACAGTGTCTGGGTCGACGCCGCGTCAGCACGCCTCAAGGCCGACTACGCCGGCGTTGTCGCCGACCAGTTCCGCGCCCAAGCGTACGCAGCGTCCTTCACAACAAAGGTAAATTATCTTCTGTCTTCTCTCCCATGCCTATGAGGCTATGAGCTCGCCTGAGTTCATTGATAAACTTTGTTTTTCCAGCCGGAGGAAGCGAGGCGGGACATCAACCGGTGGGTCCAGGCTGCGACGGCAGGGCGGATCAAGGGCTTCCTGCCACAGGGCTCCGTCGGCGCCGGCACGCGGGTCATCCTCGCGAACGCGCTCTACTTCAAGGGCGTCTGGGAGAGCAAGTTCGACGCCCGGCTCACGCAGCAACACAGATTCTACCTGCTCAACGGCGGCCATGTCCGCGTGCCGTTCATGTCGAGTGGCGAGAGCCAGCACATCGCCTGCTGCCCCGAGTGGAAGGTCCTGAAACTTCATTCCGCGCCCGGCCGCCGCGGTGTCGAGCACCTGCGGCGGCACTTCGCCATGTACGTCTACCTCCCGAACGAGCTCCACGGCCTGCCGAGCATGGTGCGGAAGCTGGCCTCCAGCCCGGAGCTGCTCGAGGCGGGCTCCATGGACCTGAGAGACATGGTCCCCGTGCGCGACTTCCGGCTGCCAAAGTTCACCGTGTCGTACAAGACGGAGGCGACGGGGCTGCTGCAGGGCCTCGGGCTGCGCCTGCCGTTCGACGACGCCGCCGCCGACTTCTCGGAGATGCTGGAGGACTCCAAGGGGTCCCTCGTCGTGTCCAACGTCTACCACCAGTCCCTGGTGGAGGTGAACGAGGAAGGGACCGAAGCGGCCGCGACGACCGCGGTAACCAGTATGACTTTTACCTGTCCCGCGGTGATGAGCAGGCCGGTCAAATACGTGGACTTCGTCGCCGACCACCCTTTCATGTTCTTGACCAAGGAGGAGCTCACCGGCGTCGTGGTGTTCGCCGGTCTAGTTCTGGATCCTTCGTCGTGATTCCGATGCTGGCTCGTATTAGCCTTCAGAGCGTGTCTTTGCCTTGTAACCGCGGTGACTTGCACTATATATATGTACTTATGGTGCCCTGACTATGGTAACTAAGTACATTATCTTATCTTGATTATTTTTTTGAGTAAAAAGTTTGATTTGGTGAAATTTGTTTTGAGCGGAACTTGTCCTTGTTGAAATTTGTTTTTTCATTTCATAGATCTTCATCCTGCATATAATACCACAGAAAAGAATATAGTGAGTATAATGATTGATCAAAATTATCACTACATAGCTAGCTTGAGACTTAAATTACAGAAAGAAATCATTTAGAGACAATAGCTAGCTTGTGATGAGCTCGAGGAAGAGAGGGGAAGAACAGAGGAAGTGAGGGGAAAGGAGAAGAACAGAGCGAGCTCGGGTGGACGAAGGGTTTATGTACGACGACCTTTAGTACCGGTTCATGCCACGAACCGGTACTAAAGAGAGTGGTGGCAGGATGTTGTCAGTCTGGGGCCCCTCCAGCACCTTTAGTATCGGTTCGTGGCACGAACAGGTGCTAAAGGTTCGCCACGAACCGGTCAGAGTGGCCGGCTAGCCGTTGGAACCGGCACTAATGGACACATTAGTGCAGGCTCAAAATCAAACTGACACTAATGTGTCTCAGATTTCACCCTTTTTCTACTAGTGCTGGTTTGGTTGCAGAGATGCAGCCAAAAAGCTCATTTGTGCGTTTTGACGGTTGTCACTTCCGTCAGCCTTTGACGGTGAAATTCTAGCTATGGACAGCAGCTTGACACAAAGGATATGGTTCTGTAGTGGCAGTGATGGGATTTGTCCAACACATATAGCTACTGGGATCGTGGAAATCGACGGCGACAACACATGATTGACCATGATTCGATGGTGCTTCTCGAGTACCTAGTCTAGAGCACAGGGGTAAAAATACTATGTATGAACCAAGTTGGTTTTACATGGCAATGGCGATATTTTTGTGTCATAACCTTGTTGAAGGCATTGCTCGGATATGCCCAGACTTGTTCTTCAGGGTGAAAACCCGAAATCTTGCCTTCGATGGTTGGATCTAACGACTGCGGCGTTTGAGCGTCGTTTTCTTCATGAAGGCGTTGATGTTGAAGAACTTTTCTCATTGTCCATGTGGTGTCAAAAGATGCTTGGTGCACATATAGTCATTCATGTAGTTTGTCGACCATAGATCCTTTTGGGTTTTTTCCTTTTTTTCCGTTTAGGCATAACTTTGGTCTCATATGACTTTGTTGTGTGCTGGCAGGTTTATGCGTGTGTTGTGGTGTTGACTATGTACATACTAGTTATGCAGTGGTCATGTGTGTATTCATTGTGTTTGTATCTCTTGATGTTTCATTTGAGTAAATAACATCCATCGTTTGTCGAAAATATTTTGAGAATAAGGGGTGCACTTTGCGCTCACGCGGCGGCACAGATTCTACCTGCTCGTCAGTGGCCACGTCCATGTGCCATTCATGTCGAGCGGCGAGAGCCAGCACATCACATGATGTCCCGAGTGAAAGGTCCTGAAACTCCTCTACGCGTCCGGCGCCACTGCGTCGAGCACCTGTGGGCTGCGGCCGCACTTCCCCATGTATGTCTACCTCCCGAACGAGCGCCAGGGCCTGCAGATCATGCTGCGGAAGTTGGCCTCATGCCCGGAGCTGCTCGAGGCGGGCTCCATGGACCTGAGAGGGAAGGTCCCCGTGCCGTGCGCAAGTTCCGGCTGCAATTTGAGCGGAACTTGTCCTTGTTGAAAATAATTTGGAAAACGTTTTAAATAAGTCGAAAGCGCGTCCGGCGCCGTCCGATCCCACACGATCGTGTGGCACCACCGCGCTGCATGTTACAATCAGAGCATGTTACAATCCCACGAAGAACAGTGAGGCTTCACCAGTCCTACATGAGATAGTGACATGCTCTGATGCGTACTGCAAGGTGGAGATGCAGGGACGCCAACACGCTGCCGTGCTGCGGTGCAGCTACGAGCAGCACTCTATCGAGCCGGCGATTCTGCAAAGACGTACGAAGAAGCACGATGGCGAAATGCTGCAAGGTCAATGGTGGGTACGGCACGGGAAGCAACGGTGCTGCAACGAGGGGAGTTGCATCGGTAGTCGGCCATGAGCCGCTGCAGCAACGCCAGCGAGGTGATGTTGCAAGCCGATGCTGTGATGGCGCCGCCATGCTCCAGTGGCATCTCGGCTACGACGACGGCTCAACTTCGGCGACATTTTGCTACATGGCTCAGGCTGCTCCGGGCTCCTACGATGCTGCGAGCCAGTGCTGCAGCGGAGCCGCCGTGCTGGGAGTCTGCCGGTGCTACGACGGCGCCGCCCTGCTGCGAGTCCACATCGTACTGGTCGTGGTGGGCCGCCGTGCTGCGAGTTGTTCTGTGCTATGGTCGTGGTGGCGTAGAGAAGACAGCGGAAGGAGACCATACTGCGTTGACTTTCACCGATGGTAAAGACGCCCACATCGCACGGTCCAGGAGGTGGATGTTGTTTGCTTTTTGTACATCCTGGTGGCGCCCTGATTCTGCTAGGTAACTACACATAACACATGTGATGGTATAAATACTAGAAGACCATCTTCCTCAATGCTGATGGTGGTCGAGTCAAGGTTGCTAATGTTGAGAGTACTGCCGTTGACGCTGCCGTTATCCGAAGCATGTTATCGCAGCATCATCGAAGCAGCCGGGCCGCCATTGGCACAACACTGTGGCCATCGTATCATCATCGGAGCAGCCATGCTTGTCATTGTAACACGACCGTGGTCGTGAAACAGGTCGCCACAGCATCATCGAAGATGTATGGCGTAGCATCGTCGTGGTTGTTGAAGCACGCCGTCGTGGTCGTCGAACCATATTGTCACAACATCATCACAGCCATCGAAGCACAACACTGGCGTTAGAAGCATGTTGTTTAGCCATCCTCGTGGTCGTCGAAGCACATCTCGTGGCATCACCTCGGCTATCGAAGTATGCCATTGAAGCATTGTCGCGGCCGTCGAAGCACACCACGGGTGTTCAAAGCATGTTGTCATGCCCACGTCACGCCCGTCACGCCCGTCGAAGCAGCCGGGCCGCCATTGCCAGACCACTGCGGCCATCGTATCATCATCGGAGCAGCCATGCTTGTCATTGCAACACGACCGTGGTCGTGAAACACGTCGCCACAGCATCGTCGAAGATGTATGGCGTAGCATCGTCGTGGTTGTTGAAGTACGACGTCTTGGTCGTCGAACCATGTTGTCACAACATCACCATGGCCGTCGAAGCACAACACCGGCGTTAGAAGCATGTTGTTGCGCCATCCTCGTGGTCGTCGAAGCACATCTCGTAGCATCACCGCGGCCGTCGAAGTATGCCATTGAAGCATTGTCGCAGCCGTCGAAGCACACCACGGCTGTTCAAAGCATGTCATCATGCCAACGCCGTGGCAGTCGCAGCTTCATCGAAGCAGCCAGGATGACGTCGCGGCGGTCATTGCAGCACACCTCGTAGCATCACCATGGCTGTCGAAGCATGTCGTTGATGCATTGTTGTGGCCACCGAAGCATACCATGGGTGTTCGAGCATGTTGTCGTGCCCACGTCACGCCCGTCGCAGCATTGTCGAAGCAGTTGGGATGCTGTCACAGCATCGCCGCGGCTATCAAAGTACACCATAGGCGCTCGAAGCATGTGGTTGTGTCATCACCACGGCCATCGTAACATGCCTCGAAGCATCACCGTGGTAGTTGCAGTAATTAGGATGTCACAGAGACCATCGTTCGGCGCTGCAGCACTGTCCGTGGCCTTCGGTGGTGTGACAAAGCATCACCGGGCGTGGTGGTGCAGCAACGCAAGCTGCAATGGAGCAGCGCCGCGGGTCGACGGTGTTGCGACGGTGCATCACCGGGTGGCACGGTGCAGCGACACGAGCTGCAATGGAGCAATGTCGGGGCCGTCGGTGCAACGACGAAGCATCACAGGGGCGTGTGGTGCTGTGATGGAGCTCCATGGCGTGTCGCCGAGGGAGGCGCGCTGGTGTGGAGCTGTAATGAGGCATTGCTGGGCTGCACTGTCAGCTCTGACGAGTAAGGGCCGCACTTCACTGCCCGCTAGTGCTATTAGATGCGACAGCTGCTAGTAGTTGCGAACGGGGAGAGCTACGGTCGAGGGATCCTGCGAGGCGTGTGTGAAACAATCCAGCGAATGTGAAGCCTCGCATCGGACGGTGTACAAGGCGACTTAGAACGTCGGGATACACACACACACACTCCCCTGCTGCCTACTGGCTCGCTTCCACTCACTGTCTTCGTCTCTTGTCCACATCTCTCCTCTCCTCCTTGCCACCCAAGCTGAGCAGGAGGAAGATCAATCGAAGAATGACCTTTTTCAACAGATGGTCCACGTGCATGCACATGTGTATACATACGTTATTTTCTTCGAAAAGGAGGATCACCCTGGCCTAGGTGTATACGTACGAAGCCGCCATCACTAGTTAGCTACTGATTAGGGTGTTGCGTGGCTACCTTGACAATTAGGAAAAGGTTGGAGAAGGCGGATGTGCCCTGCAGGAACCACACCACGAAGTCTAGGATGACGCTACGCTAGAATCCACCGCAGGCCAGCTTGGGGAAGGTCCGCAGAACTCAATGTCATTGACAAACAGGACCCTGACAAAGGCGGAGGCGGAGGCTACCGGCAAGGAAAGAAGAGGCACGGTCTACACATGAACACATCATGTATGCATGGATGCATGTGAGACATACATACGAGAGCGGTTTATTGTAGGACGAGCTACACGGTACCCTCTATCATAGCCGTTCAATCTGGGCTCTAGTGTATTTGGATGTGTGCCTAGATCTGAAAATCAGCGGGTGCATGTGGACGAGCTGTCTCGTATGTCCATGATCCGTCAGAGCTTGCCGGTAATTGATAGAGGAGGAGCAGTGAGCTCCTTGCTCACTTTCTCACCCTTAAATGACAGCTTTTTT